AAAAATATTTCAAACAAATATTGGCGGTGCGGGGAATCTGAAGGCAACATGCTCTACATGTGGTGGACATGGACATGTAAAAAAATCAAAGAGTTTTGGAATGTTATATATGACGAACTGATTTTTTTTTTTTAAAGTAACATTTCCCAAAAAACTCGGAGGCCTTTTTACTTGGAATTGTAGGCAGAGGGGGGCCGCTAGGGGTGCATTGGAAGATGGCTGACAATACCATCTCTCCGGCTCACACGAGGAAATTAAGAGGCTGATATGGGAGTATGCAGCCTCCCTTGTTACCCCAGGGAATGGGGAAACACTGCCTTTGCCTGCGGTGCCGATAAATCACCCCCGAGTTCGAAAGATGCAGGGGGTGAGGGCACTAGGCGCACAGCCCTTGTGTGGGTTCTCGGCTCTCCCGGACGCTGTCTCCGATAGCGCGCCTGGTTGCAGCAGCTCAAAATAAACAATTAGAGAGCAGTAAATGCACGTTTCGAGTGAAGAATGGGAGTTGAGACTGCTATGTGAAGTGACCTCTGTGAAGTCGAGCGACGGGCTGGATTCAACAGGAAAATATATCAAGAAGAAGACACATCAAAGGGTCGGTATGTCGGAACAGGACGGAATGGGGGGGGGAAACTTTTCTTTTTTTATCTTATGTGATTATCTAGCAATCCCCCCCCCAAGAAGAATCGTTGCAACTACTGATTATAAGCGGGATGATTAAGAACTGTGTGGAAATGAATTACTAATCAAAGACATGGTTTGTGGAATATCTGGAAAGGAATAAAAGGCCTTTGGAATGACGCAGTTATAAAAAGAGACTCGCTAGGAAGCAGGCCTGGTTGCAGGATTTACGATCGAGGGGGAGGAGACCATGGTTTTGTTATCATATTGGACTGTGAGTTTGACCTGGCAGAACCCCCTAAGAAGATCGAGGAGAGAGTGACAGGCCTGCGAGGATTAATGGGCATGTTTTGTGCGGAAGTGCTGAAATGGCATCTGTCTGTTTGAATATGGCTCTTGGAGGAATGGAAAATCTACACAGGACTATAACAACGTTTGTTTTTAACCCGCTTGTGGAGATTATCAGAGGTCACAAAGAAAGGAATATATGATAACAACAAGAAGATGAGGAAAACAATAAAGAGAAGATTGGACAGAACTGTGAATACTATTTGGACAGAACTGTGAATATTAAAGCAGCAGCAATAGAAATGTTTGGATCCCTTTCTGAGCTCGAAGCATGGGTACCCCCAACAAAATTTTTAAAATTTGGCTCTGTAATTTGGAATTAATGTGATTTGATTGGTTTGTTAATAAAAATTATATTTTAAAAAAAAGGAATCATAGGCAGAGAGATACCAAAAAATCTAAAATATTTTTTTTTTGTATGCAACTGCGGCCGCAAGAATTCTGATTGCAATGAACTGTAAGGGGGAGAGGGTTCCTACAAAAACAGATTGGCAGAATAAATTATTAGAGTTTGCTGAAATGGCTCATATGACAAATAGGCTGAGAGGCAAGATAAATCAAAATTTTATTCAAAAATGGGACATGTTTAAGAAATGAACTACAATAGTGGTGTGCTGTCTATGGTAGTTTTTGAATGATTTCTGTGTATATGAATGATAAAAAAGGGTACAAAACTTGTAAGAAATTATGAGATATTATAAATAGAATAAAGTAATAGTTATTTGTATAATTGGAAAATAGAAATGGTAAATACATTGGGGGGTCAGGAAGTCATATGTAGTCAAGTATGGTGAATTGTAGTGTATACGAATGAACTGACTTTTATTTGTAATTTTTTGAAATACCATATATAAGAATGTTTTGTTATCAATTAAATTCAATAAAAAAAGAAAAAAAAAGAAAAAAGAAAGCAGTTTCAACTAAATGAAGTTAAAGGAGTTCAAGGTCACCAATATCCAGAAAACTTCTTATTGCTTTGTTTACCCAAACTCATTTCTTTTTAGGAGCTTTGATTCTGTGTACACACTGTTCATCAATGAAATCCTAAAGATTTTATTGTCCCCACAAATGGGACATGGAACCATATGGCTTCTAACTTAACGCTCCAAGCCGTGCTCCATCAACCAAGCGTTAATGGCTTCAAAGTTTGCCAAAAGTTTAATTTAGGTCAGTCTGTTCCACTTGTGTTAATATACCTGAAAAATTCACCTCAGTGACATTGTGAAAGATTCAGCTCCAGTGGCATTTAGAAAATAAAAAAATACCTTAAATAATAGCTGCTTCAGATTCATTCTTATGTCATTATGTCACTGAATTTTCCTGCTCCAATTATAGCCTTATAATTATAGCCTGATAATATATGCTTACCATATATTCATTATTTTAAAATTCTCATTCAAATTATTAAGGTTCTAGTTCTTGAAGGCATCTAACGTGACAGAGATATATGCAGTGTTTAATGAGGCCTGTTTAGCTTGTCACTAAATAAGGTAAAGACTCCTCCTTTAGCTAGTCCATAACTATGGTATTCTTATATCTTACCTGAAACTACATCCCCAGTGAATGTAGTGGGACTTGGAAGTGGCTTACAGATTAACCTCTTATGGCGTGGCTTACAGATTGTTTCAAACAAGACAGTCCTTGTCCCCAGGCTTACAACTGAAAAACACAAAATACAAAGGGAGAACGGGCCAAGAAGGGGAGGAACTAAGCAACACAAGTTGGGATCGGGAGAAATCTGGTTCAGATTGCATTGGAAGGAAGCCCACAAAGGGACTTCCACTAACACAATGGGGATTCCCCCTCTCTGAGACTAGTGACCCCTTTCCTGGGCTCAGACATTTCTTGGGGTCCTGATTTCAAGGTCATTCAGATTCAACTACTGGAGCTCATCAAGATCTGACCATCTCCCCCATGACATCTCCATGTAACTCATGCCACAGGCAGAGAAGCCCAAAGCTGCTGATCTCTTAGCTGTGTTTTTCTTTCCCTCCTCTACCACAGGCTGATGGAATAGCTGTTGCCAGGTGAAGGGAGGAGCCTGGATTCTGTTACTTCAGTTTCTGTTGCTTCAGTTTCTTAAACTTAATCATTTCAGTGTTACGGCTTAATACCTTGGTACTATCTGTCACTTGCCCAACCTTTTAACAATCACACTCCTGAGGTACTTCAAATCATGTAACAGACCCAGGGGATCACTACACCCCTCTTAACTGGTTTGGGGGTCTTCTCTATCTAGAAGAACAGTCGTCTCCTGACAGGAATGAGACACAAGTAGATGGTATCTTCACAGCTTCTACTTCTCCTTGCTCAAACTCGGCCCTCCAATTAACTCTTGTTTCAATACTCTCACAGGACACTACACATTGTCCTTCCTACCTAAGCTCAGAGACTCCTTTCTCTAGCTTTAGATATTCTCCTCAGAGTGGATGCTATACACACAAGAACAATTCCGTAACTCTCCTTCCCGAAACCATCTGTCCCCCTCAAACTCCCTTAGAAACTGCTCCTTTTATTCTCTCTCCCAAAGTGCTGGCTCCATCCCCCCTGTGACTAACTGTCTTGGTAGCCAATCAGAGAGAGGTTCCAGCCCTTTGGTGGAATTTCGAGGCACTGCATCACCAGACTCTGGTCTGGCTCAGCTGTTCATCAGAAATACACAATACATCTAGGATGTGTGTGGATTGCATAGAAAAGTAAGTATTCAGTCTCCACCGGTTCTAAATTAATATGTTGTGTGTATGCAGCCCATGCCTTTTGAACTGTGGTATTTGCAATGGCTCTGTGGCATAGCAGAATTAGTCTTGTAATATATCCAGGAGGAAGAAGAACCTGCTTTAGCAGGTTTAGCTTTAGTAGGTTTAGCCTGGCAAGCTACCGAGTCACCATTTATAAAATGCAGGAAATTGCTGAAGCCTAACTTCCTCTTAGGAAGCAGTTTCAAGAGTAGGTCCTGTGCCCTATGCATGGATGCAGTACAGCCGACGATGGAGCCGGTGGATGACAGGGACTAGAAGGAGCTGTCTGAGTGTAGCATGATATACTGCTGCTATTAAATATATTAATGCACTCTCCATCTGAGGAGCATAATAAAAAAGCTAATAAGATCTGTACTTCTCTGGTCTCTCTTTTTCTTTAAAACCCAGCAAGCAACAATGCGGTTATTATTAAGCAGCTCTGTTGGGCCACACCAGAGACACTGATAATAATAATAATAATAATAATAATGATAATAATAATAATAATAAATTTTTATTTATACCCCGCTCTCCCCAGCCAAGACCGGGCTCAGGGCTGCTAACAACCAATAATAAAAACAAGTTGATTAAAATACAATTTAAAAGATTAAGATACAGGTGGAACAACTCTGTCTTACAGGCCCTGCGGAAACAGATCAGATCCCGCAGGGCCCTGGTCTCAAGAGACAGAGCGTTCCACCAGGCCGGAGCCAGTGTTGAGAAGGCCCTGGCTCTGGTTGAGGCTAATCTAACTTCCTTAGGGCCCGGGACCTCTAGGGTGTTGCTATATATGGTCCTCTGTGGGGCATACCAGGAGAGGCGATCCCGTAGGTACAAGGGTCCTAGGACGTGAAGGGCTTTAAAAGTCAAAACCAGCACCTTAAATCTGACCCTGTACTCCACCGGGAGCCAGTGCAACTGGGAAAGCACTGGGTGAATATACTCCTACGGCAGAGACCCCGTGAGGGGCCTCGCTGCAGCATTCTGCACCCGCTGGAGTTTCTGGGACAGCTTCAAGGGCAGCCCCGTGTAGAGCAAATTACAGTAGTCAAGCCTGGAGGTGACCATCGCATGGATCACTGTGGCCAGGTCGGGGCGGGAAAGGTAAGGGACCTTACATGGGATTACAATGGGATTACTACAAACATAGCAACATTGACAGCGACTGCAGCAGTCCTGGATGGATGGTCTCATTCAAGAACATGAGAAATGGTCCATCTAGCACAGTATTGTCAGCAGTGACAGGCAACAACTTCCCAGGGTTTCAGGCAGGGAAACTCTCCCAGTCCTCCCTGGAGATGCCAGGGATTGAATCTGGGACTTTATGCATGAAAAGCAGATGTTCTACCTGAGCTATGACCCTTCTAGCGCAACACTGTTAGAGCAGTGTGGCAGCTTGGGGCACTGGGATATAATCACTTCCACTCCAATGAAGGAGAAGTGGATGATCCCGTGAGACTTTTACCAATCAAAGAAGCCTTCTTCAAGAACTCTGTCTCCACACAGTTGACATCTCACTGAGCGAGAGAGGGAGTCTATCTGCTCACTCTGCCCCCAGGCCCTCTCTGATGCTTTCCATGCATTGAGTGAAGGCCCGGTGGTTGTGGTGAAACCTGAAGAATGTGTCTGCTTCCATGAGATCAATCCTCAAGCAGTGGCGTAGCATGGCGGACTTGGCCCAGGGCAATTTTTTTTTTAGGGGGCATGACCAGTGCTATGGCCCAATGCTGCCAGCTGGCCACAGCTCCACTCCCAGGTCAAGCCTGACCGGGGGTGAAGAGAGGGTGGTGGTAGTATTGTTGCCCCTCCCCTCCCCTAGGCTCCAGTGCCTTGCAAAGCTGCGCAGGGCTTCCAGGGCAGCCTGAATGTATCCCTGAAGCAGTGGTGGGGGCTAGACTGGTGTGGCAAACAAGTCTCTGGTCAGCCAATGTGAGAACAGGATGCTGGACTAAATTAGCCTTTGGTTTGATCTAGAAGGGCTTCCTCTATGTTCTTGGGAAGTGTGTGTGTGTTCATAACTAGAACTACAACCCTATGCCGCAGAGTAAGTCTTATTGAACTCAGTGGGGTTTACTTCTGAGTAGACATGTCCAAGTGTCCCTATTTTCCATGGACAGTCCCTGATTTACAGAAGCCGTCCCAATTTCAGATTCACACCCTCCAACATTACTCTGATGAAAATAGAGACGTCTCATTCCATAACGATAATTTACTATTTATACCCCACACATCTGACTGAATTGCCCAAGCCACTCTGGGTGGTTTCCAACATATATAAAAAACCAAACATTTAAAAAACTTCAATATAAAGAGCTGCCTTCAGATGTCTTCTAAAGGTTGTGTAGTTACTTATCTCCTTGGCTCAGGGGTTGGGCAACTCCATACCCGCCATCGTTTCTCTGATGAAGATAGGGATGTCCTAATGAAAAGTGGGACATTTTGGGATCAAATGAGAAACCCTGGATGGCTTCGGTAAATCTGAGACTGTCCCTGGAAAATAGGGGCACTTGGAGTGTCTGCAAAAGGAGCTCCACAATATCCCAGGAAAGGCTAATGCACAACTTCACAGCCCCTTTGAACAGAGTTTGCCTTTTCACACATAACATGTGCAGTGGAAGAAAAGGAAGAGGAGTTTGGATTTGATAGCCCGCCTTTCACTCCCCTTAAATAGTCTCAAAGCTGCTAACAATCTCCTTTCCCTTCCTCCCCCACAACAAACACTTTGTGAGGTGAGTGTGGCTGAGAGAAGTGTGACTAGCCCAAGGTCACCCAGCAGCTGCATGTGGAGGAGCGGGGAAGCGAACCCGTTTCACCAGATTACGTGTCCACCGCTCTTAACCACTACACCACCACAGTGGGCTTGGGGCACACCAGACAGTGGACTTGGGGCACACCAGACAGTTGAGAAGGCTCTCAAGAATAGAATGGGATAGAACAAAGGTAAGAAACCCTTTTCAGCCTGAGGGCTGCCTTCACTGCTGAGGACCACAGGTCTGAGGGGTGTGAGGCCAGAGGCAAAAGTGAGCAGACTGACGAATGAGTCTCTTACCTTAGGCTGTAGGCTCATTTCTACACACATCTTGCCTTTTATCTCTCTGAACAAGCAAGAGGTATGGTGGGAGATCAAGCGCATATTCCAGCCAGGCCAAAGCACTCCAGGTGTGGGGCTTTGGGAGATGGTTGGCCTGGAAAGAGTTCTGGGGGCCAGATAGAGAGGGCCACATTCTGGCCCCTGGGCCTCAGGTTCTCTAGTCCAGGATTACAGTTGATGTTTGTCTGGAATCCTATCTACCAGAGCCTGGACTCGCTGCATTCAAGCAATTATTGCAGTTCAGTTCAGTTCTATCTGGGCATTAGAACAAATTTCTCTTAAATGGAAGAATGCCTCCTTGCTTTGATGATTAAATAACCTTTATATTATTATTATTGTTATTAATATTCACTCCAGCTACTCAGGGCTTACGATCTCATTAGCAATTGGTATTTGATAAGTGTGGTGGCTATCAAGAGCCTCTAAATTAAAACATTCCAGAAGAAGAACATCTTGTTAGAGAGTTCTCTTTTAATCAAAAGCAAAACAATTTCTCCTTCCATTCTTTACCATTTACCTTCTGGTTTATTGGTTAATGTTTAATGCTCAGATGAAAACTTAATGATCTCAGAATGTCATGTAGTGTGCTGTCCTGATATGCTCCCAGCCGGGTTCCTTCTGTCTGCCATGTGAAATTCCTGAGCAAAGGTTGATACCTTAAAATCTCTCCCTCAGCCATTGTTCAAAACTCCTCAGAGTGACTGGACAATAAATTTTGGAAGCCAATGTCTACCTGAATGAAAGTCATAATGATCAGTTGCTTCCGTGACCATAAGAGAAGATTGCTCAATAAAATGTTTCCCTTTAATTCAACTTGTGGGGTGGGGTGGTTGGTTTTTTTTTTGAAAAGTATCATTTGGCACTATAATCTTTATTGTCATCTGAGAAATCTGTCCCACTCCAGATCCCTTAATTGTTGTTAAAATGATGATGATAATTTGACTTAAATACTGCCCTTTCTCTTGAAGGAGCCCTGGGTGGCAGATGCAACAATGCTAGAACAAAAATTCTCCAAACTGTTTAAAACTTTTTCTCAACCAGAGATTGTCAGGAACATTGTCTGTTAGCCATCAAATGCCTGTGTAATAAAGAAGATGCCCTTTGATTTCAATAAATCAATAAGCCAAATACTTCCTTCCCATTTCTGGAGTAGAAAGCCCCCCCCCCTCCGTTCAGACAAGAAAGCATACAAATGAGAATTGTTGAACGTAATGTTGATGTAATCAAACTATCAGATAAAGGAGACTACAGGTGCCTTTGCAACAGAAACTCTTTTTGGACAGCTTGAGCAAATGGGACTACCAGTTGAGAATCTGTGTGGTCAAGGTTATGATAATAGGAGTAACATGAAAGGTGAAGAAAACAGAGCACAAAGAGAATCCTGGACATAAACCCACATACCTTTTTGTGCATTTCAGTGCACACTCTTTGAACTTGATAGTCAATGATGCTGCCAGGTATTGTCTGGAAGCAACTAGTTTCTTCAGTTTGGCTCAACAGATCTATCATTGATAATTTCTCTCTATAATTATTTCTCTGCATTGACTCAGCATTGGCAAATTCTAACTAGCCATGTATCAGACTTAGGCACGACTGTTAAGCCCTTGAACAAAACAAGATGGGAGGGTTGGATCAATGCTTTGAAACCACTGAGATGTCATTTTGATAGTATGATGCTTTAATAGACATCTTTGATGACACCAGCTGAAAAGGTTTATCTGGATATGCTTTCCAGATTGAAGCTAAGGTCCTTGCTAATACAATTTGTAGGTTCAGATTTGTGGCATCCATTGTTACACAGCACAACATCCTTGTCAATCTTACAAGCAAGCTACTATAAAATAAGGAAGGGTTGTGAGGATGAACTGTGGAGGAGGAGAACTATGCACACCATATTGAATTCCTTGGAATAAAAGGTGCTATTAAAATATACTAATACTAATACTAAATTCAGCTACAACCCTATTGCAAGTGACGAAGAAATAGCTTGTGGGCTGCAAATGTGATAAGGGTTTTCAACAAGTTTTGATAGTTGCTACTGAGATTGCAAAGGAGCTAGAAATACTACCAGACTTTGAGAAAGAACAAATTAGAAAAAGGAGAACAAAACAGAAGTTTGAGTATGAGGCCCAAGAAGAGGTACTGCAAGATCCAAAACAGAAATTCAGAGGAGATTTCTAATATGCTGTCTTAGACATGGCCATTCAGTCTGTTGAATACCAACAGCTACAACAATATTTGGCTTTCTTTGGTTGATATACAGTATCAACCAAAAATCTACTGAATAAAGTCCTGCAAAAATTTGGAAAAATCATTGATGCACAATGGAAACAAAGATATTGATGCTGGAGTTCTGTGCTGTTAACTTGTGAGTCGAGGACCCGCCACCCACTTGGGGATAAATAAGATACATGTATTTTAGGTTAATGGGCTAAATAAGGCCACAACTTTATTGGTTACAGCATATGAAAGGTATTGGCTTAGGCATTGGATCAAACTATATATGACCCCAGTGGGAGGTGCTTGTTGATGCAAATACAACTGGAAGCTTCCCCTGTTGTCACCTGGGGTTGTGCCATGGCCCTAGCCACCAGCAGGGCATCGGACAGGATCCACGACTGCCGGATTCCTTTAACGGAATGCCCAACAAGGGGAGGGGTAGGTGATGGCCACAACCTGCCCTCCAACACACAACACATATTCCAATGCCTAACCACCAATACCTGGAAAGTTGTGACGATTTGCTATAAGGTAGGCAAAAGCACTAGACAGCAGAGTGAGGACACGGGGCTGCTGTGGCCGCTTGAATGTGGCTCGACCCCGCCCCCAAGCCAGCCCTATTGGCTGGCCTGATGGGCAGGGCATGGCAGCCGGGACAGTGACGCAGGGGGCCGAATATGCCCCCCTGCTGACGCGGGACCAGCTCCCGCTCACAACACCTCCCCTCTGGGAGGAGGAGAGGCCTTGTAGCAATAGCTCGAAGACTTCCAAAGTCTATGCCGCCACAAGGAGTGCTTCTCTTCATATCCCTGGATAAACAAAAACTCCTGGATAATGTGCCCAATGTTTCTGCTGCGCTGGTGGCATGTGGTGGACACAGTTTCTCAAAGCTCCAACTTCTCAAAACTTGCAGACGCTTGACAATGTTGCAAAAGAGACCGGTTGACTTGGCGGTTATATCAACTGAACATGACAAAGCATCAGCACTAGGGCTGTGCGATAAATCACCATATCGTTGACTACCCGTATTGAAATAACATCGTGATAAGTG